GGAAAATTTTCTAAAAAACGAAAATTTATGAAAAATTTTCTATAAAAAGAAAATTTATGGAAAATTTCCTATAAAAAGAAAATTTATGGAAAATTTCCTATAAAAAGAAAATTTATGGAAAATTTTCTATAAAAAGAAAATTTATGGAAGATTTCCCATAAAAAGAAAATTTATGGAATATTCCCTAAAAAAAGAAAATTTATGGAAAATTTTCTAAAATAAAGAAAATTTATGGAAAATTTTCCAAAAAAAGAAAATTTTTGGAAAATTTTCTAAAAAAAAGAAAATTTATGAAAAGTTTTCGATATAAAAAGAAAATTTATGAAAAATTTTCTATATAAAAAGAAAATTGATGAAAAATTTTCTATATAAAAACAAAATTGATGAAAATTTTCTATAAAAAGAAAACTTATGGAATATTTTCTAAAAAAAGAAAATTTATGGAATATTTTCTAAAATAAAGAAAATTTTCTAAAAAAAAGAAAATTTATGGTAAATTTTCTATAAAAAGAAAATTTTCTACAACAAAAATTGATGGAAATTTTCTATAAAAGAAAATTGATGGAAAATGTCCCATAAAAAGAAAATTTATCGAAAATTTTCTATAAAAAGAGAATTTATGAAAAATGTCTATAAAAAGAAAATTTATGAAAAATTTTCTATGAAGAGAAAATTTATGAAAAATTTTCTATAAAAAAAGAAATTTAATGGAAAATTTTCTATAAAAAAAGAAAATTAATGGAAAATTTTCTATAAAAAAAGAAAATTAATGGAAAATTTTCTATAAAAAAAGAAAATTTATGGAAAATTTTCTATAAAACGAAAATTTATGGAAAATTTTCTATGAAAAAAGAAAATTTATGGAAAATTTTCTATAAAAGGAAAATTTATGGAAAATTTTCTACAAAATAAAAATTGATGGAAAATTTTCTATAAAAAGAAAAATTATGGAAAATTTTCCATAAAATTTTAAATTTTGAAAAATTTTCCATAAAATGAAAATCTATGGAAAGTTTCCCATAAAATAAAAATTTAAAAAAAATTCCCATAAAAAGAAAATTTTCTTTAAAAACAAAATTTATTGAAAATTTTCTATAAAAACAAAATTTATGGAAAATTTTCTATAAAAACAAAATTTATGGAAAATTTTCTATAAAAAGAAAATTGATGGTAAATTTCCCATAAAAAGAAAATTTATGAACAATTTTCTATAAAGAGAAAATTTATGAACAATTTTCCATAAAGAGAAAATTTATGAAAAATTTTCTATTAAAAAAGAAAATTAATTGAAAATTTTCTATAAAAAAAAATTAATGGAAAATTTTCTAAAAAAAAGAAAATTAATGGAAAATTTGCTATAAAAGAAGAAAATTAATGGAAAATTTTCTATAAAAAAATTTATGAAAAATTGTCTATAAAATTTTCTATAAAAACCAAATTTGTGGAAAATTTTCTTTTAAAAAGAAAATTTATGGAAAATTTTCTATAAAAAAAAATTATGGAAAATTTTCTATAAAAAGAAAATTTATGGAAAATTTTCACTAAAAAAGAAAATTTATGGAAAATTAAAAAAAAAATCTATATATTTTTAAACTTTTTCATGGCAACAGTTTTGGAGAATTTTCAAATCATATGTATTTAACACTTTTTTGTATTTGAAAAATAAATTTCAAATTAAATGCATTTTCCAAATAATTTGCATATGACTCAGATATACTAAATAGATAACTAGACATATGATGTAAACTATTTGCCACAGTTTAGCACTTAAACGAGTGAACTAGTTATTTCCTTATTAATAAACACCCACGGATAAAGTAAATATTTTTATCACAAAAAAAAAAATAAATAAATAAATTGTAATAAATATTAGAAAAAAATTGTTAATAAATAAATAACGAAAATAAAATAAAAACTGAAATAAATTGACAAAATAAATTCCATTAAGTATACAATGCTAAATAAAATAAATAGTAGACAACACTTTCAATATTTCGTGGCCAAAAGCAAACACCCCTCCCAATAAGGAGGTTTTCTTTTACACGTTTTTTTGGAGTGAGAAGTAGAAAGATATTGGAGTGGAGTTTGGAAACAAAATAATAGCACAATTATAACAACTACTAAAAAATACTTAGCAGCTAATATTGTCTGCAGCATAAATCATTGACAAATAAATTAAAAGCAATAAATTTGCAATTAATTTTTAATTTGCAACCAATTTTGACAAGCTTTAAAAATCTGTGGTGGTAAACTAAACTATTGGCCAATTATTTTAAATAAATATGAAAACCTGACACTTTAGAATGATAATCAGCCAAAAAACTATATATAATAAATCTATACACAGAGACATACATGTATACATACATATGCAAGCACTTGTATTATTACCACGCTTTGCTAGAAATTTTAATTTAAAACAAATTTATGGAACAGTGAGTAGGATAAGTTTGAAAGCATTTCAAGTAGAACCTAATAAAGACAATAAGTAGGTCAGATCATCTTCTTTTTACTAGGGATTGAATCACTTAGGCCATAAATTATAAACTTTTTGATTGTGTATTCTTTTTTATTGATTAACAAAAATTTAGTGCCTTTAAACATATATTTTTCACTCTACAAATTATATCGATTTAAAATCTATATAACTACTTAAACTTTGTATAAAAACTTAAAAATTATGAACGAGTTTATACAAACATTGAAAAGTAAAATAGTTTATTATGTATGATTTTGATATTGTATGTAAGTAAGGTTGATTGGAAAGATTTCGAATTAACAAGTCTAAACGTAAGTTTAACATTAGACAGTTTTATCAAAACAAAATTTTCTGATTCAATAAAAAACGTGCAGAAATTTTATAATTGCAATAGGCGGCCAATTCAATCACATCAGTTAAAGGCGTGCACCCAACAAGCATAAAATCAAAAGGAATTTAACTTTATTCTCTCTACCGAATCATTACCTTTTTAACTATAATACGAAACGTAAGAGATCGTATGTGCAGCCTATGTATTGTCAGCTAACTAACTAACTAACTAACTAACTAACTAACTAACTAACTACTACTAACTAACTAACTAACTAACTAACTAAACTAACCTAACTAACTACTAACTAACTAACTAACTAACTAACTAACTAACTAACTAACTAACTAACTAACTAACTACTAACTAACTAACTAACTAACTAACTAACTAACTAACTAACTACTAACTAACTACTAACTAACTAACTAACTAACTAACTACTAACTAACTAACTACTAACTAACTAACTAACTAACTAACTAACTAACTAACTAACTAACTAACTAACTAACTAACTAACTAACTAACTAACTAACTAACTAACTAACTAACTAACTAACTAACTACTAACTAACTAACTAACTAACTAACTAACTAACTAACTAACTAACTAACTAACTAACTAACTACTAACTAACTAACTAACTAACTAACTAACTAACTAACTACTAACTAACTAACTAACTAACTAACTAACTAACTAACTAACTAACTAACTAGACTAACTAACTAACTAACTAACTAACTAACTACTAACTAACTAACTAACTAACTAACTAACTAACTAACTAACTAACTAACTAACTAACTAACTAACTACTAACTAACTAACTAACTAACTAACTAACTAACTAACTAACTAACTAACTACTACTAACTAACTAACTAACTAACTAACTAACTAACTAACTAACTAACTAACTAACTACTAACTAACTAACTAACTAACTAACTAACTAACTAACTAACTAACTAACTAACTAACTAACTAACTAACTAACTAACTACTAACTAACTAACTAACTAACTACTAACTAACTAACTAACTAACTAACTAACTAACTAACTAACTACTAACTAACTAACTAACTAACTAACTAACTAACTAACTAACTAACTAACTAACTAACTAACTAACTACTAACTAACTAACTAACTAACTAACTAACTAACTAACTAACTAACTAACTAACTAACTAACTAACTAACTAACTAACTAACTAACTAACTACTAACTAACTAACTAACTAACTAACTAACTAACTAACTAACTAACTAACTAACTAACTAACTAACTAACTAACTAACTAACTAACTAACTAACTACTAACTAACTAACTAACTAACTAACTAACTAACTAACTAACTAACTAACTAACTAACTAACTAACTAACTACTAACTAACTAACTAACTAACTAACTAACTACTACTAACTAACTAACTAACTAACTAACTAACTAACTAACTAACTAACTAACTAACTAACTAACTAACTAACTAACTAACTAACTAACTAACTAACTAACTAACTAACTAACTCACTAACTAACTAACTAACTAACTAACTAACTAACTCAGCTAATCTGCTAAAGCTATCGGTGACAAAAACACTCTGAGAACTCATTAACACTATTTCACAATTTCCAATTAAAAACATAAATTGTAAGAGAGTGTGTTAATTCTTACTAGAGAGAGAAACTGCTCTTTGCCCATCTCTCATCTAAAATCATTATCTACTTAAATTTTAAAATCTAATTTTTTGTGTTTACTGGGTATCTGCATATGAATATGTGTAAGTGTGATAGAGAACACATTTGTACTGGTTTAAGTGTAAGCGTGCCGGTATTTATTGGTGTTGATATTATCTTGAAATTACAGATCTAAGTAGATCGATCTACATGTATTTTATTAAAAAGAATTAGTTGAAGGTTTAATAAAATATAAGAGAGAAAATATTATAAACTATTTATATGTAGTTAAAAATAAAAAAAGAGAAACAAGATTACATACTTAGCATAAAAGAGAGAAAATTATCGGAACTATATATACTTAGCTTAAACATTCGATTCTTAACTATGAATATGATATATTATTGATTAAGTATATTAATATTTAGATAATGTGATGTGTTCAAAAACCCCACACGATCCAAGAAAAGTTCTACCACAAAAATTCCCACACTTACCGATAGCGATATATAAAAACCCATAAATATCAATTTCAAATCCTCAACAGAAATTGGCATTAACTTACGCGGCTCAGTTATATCGGTAAAGGACAAACGACCCAATGAAACCAATTCATGAAAACTAGACTCAAACCAATGAAAAAATAAACCCGATGAATATGCCCTTAATGTCGACATTTGTAGGGCTTCACGAAAAACCGAATGCATGGGTAAGATAAAATAAAAATGAAGATAACGACTGAAACATAAATCCTTAGAATAGCGAAAAAGTTGACGTGAGAAAAGCTGTTGTTGGACCGCAACAACGGGCCAACTGGAGGAGGTGATAACATAGGCCTGACTGGTATTAAGTGTGTTGCGTAAACGTACAAATTCATTGAATGACTCCGTTATATGGAACAATTGAGGATATTTTAAATAATCGCTGGGATATATATAAGCATATTCACCTTCAGATATATAGAGTTTAATGCCGGATTTCTCCAGATCAGCAAAACTTTTGATGGGAGTACTTTTAGGGGGACTAGTCATAAAGCTGCTTAAAAATACAGCAAAAAGGGTGATAACCACCAGACCGGTGAAAAAGAGTAAAATAAATATATAAACCACAAAATAATCTAGATTTTTATGATTAAAAGGGAATCCCTGGCCCAAAACGGCTCTAAAAGCCTTGTCATTAATTAAAATATCGGCCAAATTTAAAGGATGATCGGTAATAGAAATTCTTTTAAAGACTATTAGCAAAAGTAAAGTACAGCAGACGAAGAGCAGTAATAGATTAACTATAAAATAGGGATTTAATACCGCCAAGAAGATTTCGGCCATGGATATTTCAGGTTCCACAGGTAGCATAACACACCAGTCGGCTATTTCAAAGGGATAGGAAAATTCCGACCAGTCGGTGCCATTAATAGGGCCGGTTAAAGAAGCGGGTATATCCAAAGTATGATTGCGTGTTAATTTCAAAATATCGGAATAGAATATTTGAACTCCCTTCGGCACCTCATAGGCCAGCACTAAAGAAGCATTAAGACCCTGAGCAAAGTAACGCACAAAATGGCCCACATAACCACAAATTTGCTGATGACCTTGGCTATCATTATAGACCATTGATCTGGGTTCTATTTGATCGGGTAGTGTAAACAATTTATAACCCTTCAAATTTTGCAGTTGATCGGGAAATAAATGTTGCTCCTTTAGCCAATTATTTTTGGTGATCTTAAATCGCGGAAACTTTTCATATGAATAATATACCGTATCATTGTAGGGAAATTGATAAGAAATGATCATAATATTTATGATTTGTTCCATATTGCAATATTTCAATATCTCTGAGATATTTTGCAAATTTTCACCTTCACAGTGGTTAAAATCCAGGCGCAATATGACACGATTTTTACGTAAATATAAAAGATTTTTGCTAAGAGCACGTAATAAATGATTCTGTGTAACCTTTGTAATGACCTGTCGCTGTGGCAATGTTAACGTTAGTGGTAGAGGTGATGGTGGTGGTATACAAATAATCGTTACAAATTCACTGTTGAATTTCTTATGAAGTCGGTATTCGGTCTGTTGTGATTGCAACAGTATTACGGGTACTAAAGTCTGCTGTTGCTGATTCTCCAAGTGATGCTGGTCATATTCCATATAATATTTAAGATTTACGCAATAGTCATTTTGTTGCCAGCTAGTTGTTGTTGTTGCAGGAGTTTTTGCTGTTGTTGCATATTGCCAATTTGTCAATATAACAATTGTTGTAAAACTTTGCTCTTGGCTTACATATTTCAAAAATTGTACAAATGCTTCATCATCAATATTATGCTTGCTGCTGAGGTTGCCTTTAGTTTCTAAAGTTGTTGCCGTTGTTGTTGTTGGTGCTTGTAGTAGTTGTTAATAATTTCAAATTTATATTTGTTACTGTTGCTACAGCAACATTTGCTCCAATTATTATAAATAGTTGAAAATTTAACATGTTGCCCGTTAGCTGTAGTAGCAAAAATTGTATGCAATTGCCTTTAAGTTACAAATACATGCCACAATATGTTGTAGTATGTTGCGTGTTGCTTGTCATATGTTCGAAACAATAGTATGCAAGGATTGGAAAAGTTTTCTTCTTTTGTTAGCTCGATGTTGTTTTTTTTTTTTGTACTTGTTCTTGACTTTTTTTATCACTTGAAGCTGCAAGTATATTATACATTTATTATTTTCACTTAATTTCTTAATTTTATTCAATTTGTTTTAATTTCTGGTCTGAAAGCGGTTTTAGACAACTAATACTTAGTTGAAGCAGACATTTTTATTTTATATATTAATAAATTTATTTAGATTGATGCAAAATTTCAACAACACTATGCTACAGTAGAATGTTTTTAGGATATTTTTGTTAATTTTAAAACCAAAAAAATTTAATTTCTAAAATAATATTTCTTACCTTACAAACACCAACTGATCAGTAACCTATCGGCGGCCACACTAGTCTAGTCTACAGTCTAGTTCATAGTCTAGTCTATAGTCTAGTCTATAGTCTAGTCTATAGTCTAGTCTATAGTCTAGTCTATAGTCTAGTCTATAGTCTAGTCTATAGTCTAGTCTATAGTCTAGTCTATAGTCTAGTCTATAGTCTAGTCTATAGTCTAGTCTATAGTCTAGTCTATAGTCTAGTCTATAGTCTAGTCTATACTAGTCTATAGTCTAGTCTATAGTCTAGTCCAACGGTTCCCAAAAGGGGGTCCGCGGACCCCTAGTGGTCCGTAGCAAAATCCTAGGGGGTCCGCGAAGACGAACGAAAAAAATCATGAATAAAAAATATTCTCTATATGTTACAAAATATTAAAAATATCTCCAAATTTTTCATAAATACTAAAATACACAATTTTTATTCAATAATCCCAGATTTGTTGGTGACTCTTTGAATTTTATTGTTTCGGTCGTTTATCAGGATGAAGCTAGGCGCTACAAATTTATTGTTTCACTTTTATAAAGTAAAGTATTACGTGATTTGTAATTTTTATAAATATAAATGTTTTTATAGCAGACGGATAATGATTTGCCTTAGAATTAAATACTGATACTAGTATCCCGGAATATGAAGTTAGGTCACATTTCATAATATTTTTTTAAATTGTAAGCAAAAGTGTTAATCTAGTTAATTTTAAATATAAATATTCCATTCCAACGTGATACACAGATTTTAACTTCATTTTGTTGTCCAATATTATTAAATCAACATCAGAAAATTCATAGCGTTTTGCGTAAATAGTCAAAACCACGCAGTAAAATAATTCGTAGGTATTTTAAAATTCAAATTTAAGATCCAAATTCACAGTACATTCGCAAAGAGTTCAAGTCATATTTTATGTGGGTAACGCATTCCGCAACAACATCGAAGAAGTCTAACTTTCACATATTTTCCCGAAAATTTAGCTTACATACTCAGCTCACTCCTATGCAATCGCAAAAAAATTTAGAAACATGACTCTTTAAGCACATGTCGACAATACTTGTTAAAGAAACCTTTTCTCTACCTTGACGAGAAATGAACATGAAAGCTCTCACGATCATAAAATTAAACATCATGTTAGAAGTCATTCTATATTTAAAACCATGAAATTGAAAACATCTCCGAAATACTAAATGTTCTCAATGTACGGGAATATTTTATAGGGTTTATGGACCAGGACTAAGACAATTTTCGAACAATTACACAGTGATACAGCAAAAAAATGCAGGGGTTCTCATATACCAATTCCATTTCGTTATAGTCCATAGAGTAGGAATTTATTTTTAATTTTTCCCGATCACTTCGTTTAGTTCCTTTTTAAGAGCAAAAGTTGTGAAAAAGAGCTATTTCTGAAGTTTTAACTTTAAAAAAATATATGTCTGGTAGTTTGCAACCGATTTTCAAATTGGATATTTTGTTTTAAAGATACAAGTGTTGTCTTTCAACCCAAAAAAATAAATCCAAAATTTATGATTAATGTCTTGGTTTGTCAAAGTAGAGCATGATGAAAATGAAAATTTTTTAAAAAAGTGTGAGTTTTTTTACTTAAACGACCGTAACTCAGACATTTGACCATAAATTTTGGATTTCTTTTTTTGGATTAAAAGACACTTGTATCATTAAAAAAAAAATCGGATTTGAAAATCGGATGAAAACTACTAAACTTATGATTTTTCAAATTTAAAACTTCAAAATGGCTCTTTTTCGCATCTTTTGCTCTTAAAAAGTAAGTTAACGAAGTGATAGGGGAAAACTAAAATATATTTCGTACTCTATGGACTATAACGAAATAGAATTGGTATATGAGAACGCCTGCATTTTATTTTTCTTCACTTTTGTATCACAGTGTTATTTATAACAATAAGATATCAAAATATGTATGGGGGTCCGTGAAATTAAATAAATTCCTCAAGGGGTCCGCGAAGTAAAAAAGGTGGGAACCGCTGGTCTAGTCTATAGTCTAGTCTATAGTCTAGTCTATAGTCTAGTCTATAGTCTAGTCTATAGTCTAGTCTATAGTCTAGTCTATAGTCTAGTCTATAGTCTAGTCTATAGTCTAGTCTATAGTCTAGTCTATAGTCTATTATAGTCTAGTCTATAGTCAGTTATAGTCTAGTCTATAGTCTAGTTCTATAGTCTAGTCTATAGTCCTAGTCTATAGTCTAGTCTATAGTCTAGTCTATAGTCTAGTCTATAGTCTAGTCTATAGTCTAGTCTGTATCTCTCTATAGTCTAGTCTATAGTCCTAGTCTATAGTCTATCTATAGTCTAGTCTATAGTCTAGTCTATAGTCTAGTCTATAGTCTAGTCTATAGTCTAGTCTATAGTCTAGTCTATAGTCTAGTCTATAGTCTAGTCTATAGTCTAGTCTATAGTCTAGTCTATAGTCTAGTCTATAGTCTAGTCTATAGTCTAGTCTATAGTCTAGTCTATAGTCTAGTCTATAGTCTAGTCTATAGTCTAGTCTATAGTCTAGTCTATAGTCTAATCTATAGTCTAGTCTATAGTCTAGTCTATAGTCTAGTCTATAGTCTAGTCTATAGTCTAGTCTATAGTCTAGTCTATAGTCTAGTCTATAGTCTAGTCTATAGTCTAGTCTATAGTCTAGTCTATAGTCTAGTCTATAGTCTAGTCTATAGTCTAGTCTATAGTCTAGTCTATAGTCTAGTCTATAGTCTAGTCTATAGTCTAGTCTATAGTCTAGTCTATAGTCTAGTCTATAGTCTAGTCTATAGTCTAGTCTATAGTCTAGTCTATAGTCTAGTCTATAGTCTAGTCTATAGTCTAGTCTATAGTCTAGTCTATAGTCTAGTCTATAGTCTAGTCTATAGTCTAGTCTATAGTCTAGTCTAGTAGTCTAGTCTATAGTCTAGTCTATAGTCTAGTCTATAGTCTAGTCTATAGTCTAGTCTATAGTCTAGTCTATAGTCTAGTCTATAGTCTAGTCTATAGTCTAGTCTATAGTCTAGTCTATAGTCTAGTCTATAGTCTAGTCTATAGTCTAGTCCATAGTCTAGTCTATAGTCTAGTCTATAGTCTAGTCTATAGTCTAGTCTATAGTCTAGTCTATAGTCTAGTCTATAGTCTAGTCTATAGTCTAGTCTATAGTCTAGTCTATAGTCTAGTCTATAGTCTAGTCTATAGTCTAGTCTATAGTCTAGTCTATAGTCTAGTCTATAGTCTAGTCTATAGTCTAGTCTATAGTCTAGTCTATAGTCTAGTCTATAGTCTAGTCTATAGTCTAGTCTATAGTCTAGTCTATAGTCTAGTCTATAGTCTAGTCTATAGTCTAGTCTATAGTCTAGTCTATAGTCTAGTCTATAGTCTAGTCTATAGTCTAGTCTATAGTCTAGTCTATAGTCTAGTCTATAGTCTAGTCTATAGTCTAGTCTATAGTCTAGTCTATAGTCTAGTCTATAGTCTAGTCTATAGTCTAGTCTATAGTCTAGTCTATAGTCTAGTCTATAGTCTAGTCTATAGTCTAGTCTATAGTCTAGTCTATAGTCTAGTCTATAGTCTAGTCTATAGTCTAGTCTATAGTCTAGTCTATAGTCTAGTCTATAGTCTAGTCTATAGTCTAGTCTATAGTCTAGTCATAGTCTAGTCTATAGTCTAGTCTATAGTCTAGTCTATAGTCTAGTCTATAGTCTAGTCTATAGTCTAGTCTATAGTCTAGTCTATAGTCTAGTCTATAGTCTAGTCTATAGTCTAGTCTATAGTCTAGTCTATAGTCTAGTCTATAGTCTAGTCTATAGTCTAGTCTAGTCTAGTCTATAGTCTAGTCTATAGTCTAGTCTATAGTCTAGTCTATAGTCTAGTCTATAGTCTAGTCTATAGTCTAGTCTATAGTCTAGTCTATAGTCTAGTCTATAGTCTAGTCTATAGTCTAGTCTATAGTCTAGTCTATAGTCTAGTCTATAGTCTAGTCTATAGTCTAGTCTATAGTCTAGTCTATAGTCTAGTCTATAGTCTAGTCTATAGTCTAGTCTATAGTCTAGTCTATAGTCTAGTCTATAGTCTAGTCTATAGTCTAGTCTATAGTCTAGTCTAAGTCTAGTCTATAGTCTAGTCTATAGTCTAGTCTATAGTCTAGTCTATAGTCTAGTCTATAGTCTAGTCTATAGTCTAGTCTATAGTCTAGTCTATAGTCTAGTCTATAGTCTAGTCTATAGTCTAGTCATAGTCTAGTCTATAGTCTAGTCTATAGTCTAGTCTATAGTCTAGTCTATAGTCTAGTCTATAGTCTAGTCTATAGTCTAGTCTATAGTCTAGTCTATAGTCTAGTCTATAGTCTAGTCTATAGTCTAGTCTATAGTCTAGTCTATAGTCTAGTCTAGTCTATAGTCTAGTCTAGTCTAGTCTAGTCTATAGTCTAGT